AAAAAAAGGCCCATCAAGTTTTTTTTACGATCTTGCTTCAAAAAGCTCAATCATGACCACACCGGCGACGAAAACGATCTTTCTATAATCGTTGCACTCTCATGCATCCTTGGCACGTAAGATCTTATGATCCAGCACTCGATCCTGACTATACTAAGTATAATGCCGCTGCTGTTTAGAGTTTCGTTTGTTACACTTTTTTTCCAACAGAATCACTTTTTTAAACAAATAATCACTTGTGAAATTTAAGTTAGTTACAACTTTTTAAAATCTGAAAAAAATATTCTAAAGGCAACTTCAATTGAGAAACTGTTTATAGTAGCTTCTCTAGAAAATCAGTTTATATAACTGATTTTTTTAAGTGATTTTTATTCTGACATACAATCATAAAACAGCTTCTGCTTTTCTTAAAATTCTTTAAAAATGAATCTCTAAATTATTAAATACCAAAATCATTTTTTCTTAAAATTCTTTAAAAATGAATCTCTAAATTATTAAATACCAAAATCATTTTTTATATAATCCGTAACAAACAAAGTTAAATCATATAAGTGCTTATGTTATATAACTGCTTATGTAAAAATAAATAAATAAATCATATAATTGCTTATGCATAAGTCATTTTTATATAAAAAATAAATAAATAAATGAAGTCTAATTGATTTCAAATAGTAAGCTAAGCTATTTTCATAAACTACCCTACAGAGCTTATGCAAAAAAGCTGAAATAGTTTAACAGCATGTAATTGAATATCAATCTTGAGATTTACAACGCATAACAAGAGATTGAACACAAATCTACCATCACAATCAAAATCAAACAAATCAGAAACCTGTAAGAGAGGATTGGGACGATCGCAGCAGTAATATTCAACAGAAAGAACAGCATTCGTACACTTAGAGCCAAAAACAGCACCAACGAAACGCCTGAAATGAACGAAAAAGTGAGATTCAGAAATCGTGAAAACACGAAAATGAAAGATTGTAGAGAGAGGAAGTTAGTTATGGATTACAGAAAGTAATCGTAAGCACCGAAAGTGATGAAGTAGTTAATGCGTTGAATGAAAGTTCCTTCGAAAATTGGCCATCGACCGCAGAGGAATGAAACAACCACCAACGCTGTGACCAATCCATGGCATGCTAATAACAACCCTACCCCCATTACTCAATTTCACTGCTCGATTTCAATTCTTCGCCATTTTTATCTTAATTTTATTTAATTTGTTTTAATATTTAATTTAATAATATATCTCTTGTTCTTCGCTTGGTCAATTTAATAATATAGTATTTGTCTTTTAATTAACCAGTAAGGAAAAACCTCCGTATACAGATTCTTTGATTTTTACTTTTAAGTTGAAAATTACACTTAATTTATTCGACGAATTGCCATAAGATAGACTAATTTATTTTATACGGATGCGATCAGTTAATTACAGCCGTTGATTTATTTTTAAAAATATTTGATTTGAATTTTAACTTTTTAAAAAATTATACTAACAAAATAATAGTGAGGTATTGATAGTGTAAAAAAATTTATATGCATAATAATTAATCTCTAAAACTCATATCTTTAATTAATTATTACTTTTACGGAAAAACAACTTCAACAAGATTTATGGTGCTTTTCTTTAGAAAAAATTGAAGAAAATCACTTTTTTTAAATAAGCACTTCTAAAGGTTTATATTTTAATTTTTTTAGTATTTTTTAAAAAATCATTCTTTTCTAAATAAATAAATATAATTTCTTATAAATTTCTATAAAATAATTTTTGAAATTTCAAAGTTAAAATTTATAATAAACGGCTTTATTTAAAAAGAGTTAACATATTAAAATAAGTTTGATATAAATAAGAATTTATCACGTATTAAAAGATTTATCATGTATTAACTCTCAAGGGTTGGCATAATAGTGTAGGTTTGAGTCTTGAGAGTATGTTTATCTCAAGGTTTTAGGTTCAAATTTTGTTAGGTGCATTCAATCTTTGTGTTGGGATAGTACATACGGAGTTCTAATCTGCCTTTAAACGGAATTTTGAATTAGTCGGTTACCAATATTTAAAAATAAAAAAAGATAAATACTTATTTTGTGGTGTTCAAAAAATGTATTATCAGACGCATTTAAAATTACATTGATCCTCGTAATTTGCACATTCTATTTTTATTAAAATTTAGTTTAGATATGCATCCTCGTACGAATCTAAAATCACACTCGTTCTTGTGAGTCAGTCACACATTTTGTTTTTATCAAAATTTAGTCTGGAGATGCGTATTTAAAAATTTTCTGCAATGAATCTGGAGATGCATCTCCGGAAACCCCCATGAATACGTTCTAAATGGCAACATTGTCCTAACTTTGACATTTCTTTAGGTTAATTTATGTTTTAGGTCATTTTTATGCCAACTTTTATCATAAAATCATTTAGAAGCGTCATAATTTTATTCAAGCATATTATACATACATTTCAAAAACCCATACATTAATTAAAGTATATTCAAAATGTATATACCATACATAATTTATTTCAAAAATACAAAAGATTACACAAACAAACATAAGCTACTGGGTATGTCTAACTCTACGGTTTCTCCATTGTCGCCTGTACAGCAAGACATTTTGTTTCTCGACAATAATGTCTTCTACGAGGGCTAACAAGGAATTGTCTTCTTCAAAAATCTCAACCTCTATGTCTTATCTCGCTATACCTATAATACACCGACAAACTGACAACACGTCATGGATGTGGTCATCCCTAATTGTTCAGTTTTTAGTATTTTCTTATGAGATGACCTACGTGGTCCTCCAAGAGCATTTGGTTTCATGACAGGATGTGATACCTTTTTTAAACCATGTGATGTAGTCGTCTGCATAAGTCCATTGTATAAGAGCAGTGGCCTGCGATAGTCCTCTGGTACCAAATAATTATTTAGATTCTCAAGTATGGCATCAGAATCTCTGTGGCGGACAGTAGAAAAAGCTGACTCTGAGGAATGTCTCGGAATAACCTACAAATATCCAAACTGGTGTATCACTCACTCTGGCAGATACACGTACATCAGACCTGACCCGCAAGTCATTTATTCGAAGTATAACGAAATGACGTCCAGCTAATGTGTGGCAGTGACCTGTGTATGGGCAGAAGAAAATGTCATTTGCTACATGTCGGTCAAGATTCACCTGAGAGGGCTCGATCACCTAATTCCCTCTGTACGGAGCAAAGGTGGAAGCACATGGTCAATCCTCAGTGTAGTCTTCAACAGGTTATCGGTCGGAGATGCGAGGAAAAGGAGAGATGATTCATCTCTGAAAATGATTCATCCTTAATTTGCAGGAAATAAAGAAGGAAGGGGGGACAATTTGATGCGTGTATATGAATTAAATGCATCCGAAGATGCATCTCTGTAAAACTTATTGAGTTTTAAATTAAGAATCGTTATAGAGACGTATCTTCGGACACACCTTAATATTGATATGAAGATGCATCTCTAGACTAAGTTTTGACAAAATAAAAATGACTCAGCAATTTGTGTTGAATAGTGTGTCCATATATGCATCTTTAGATTCTATAGGCAATTGTGACTTTACGTTGTGGTGGAGAAATACCCCTAAGAATGGAAAAAACAATCTCTTTAAAATAATAGTTTAATCATTATTAATTTGGAAGGTCACAACTTCAAAAGATAGAAGTTCAATCATTATTTCAAAATCTCTCCATCAAAGTATCAAAGTTATAGTGTAACTATCTTTAAAATTCAACGTTGAATCCATGTCATAGATTGTTGTCTACACTCAAGCATACATTAGATCCACGTTTATAATTATATCTTATATACAAGACATCTCACATGAAATCAGAGGTATTCTTTTTAAAGCATAACTTATATTACTCCACATTTTTTACTAATTTGGAGTTGGAGTACTAATTTTATAGGATGAAAATTTTATAAGTCCATTCCACACACAGTCGCGCCAAAATCTTCCCCACTACATTAAAACTCTACTCCATCATTTCATCAAATATTCATAATTTCTTAACGTATCAGTAGTACACTATTAGTATAATGTAAAAAATATTCATATCATCAAATCACATACAACTCTTCAAATGGTTAAGAAAAAATTCAAATATCTTTACTCTTTGTATTCAAAGAATTTAGTGTAAATAAAAAAAATTAACCGATATAGTATCAACGTAAAAGTTTTACTCTCTTAATCAATCAAAACCGTATATTGGTAAAGATGTTTGATTTTTTCGTAACTAGTTTTAAAATCATGATAATGAATGGTTGTGATTGACTAATAATGTAAAATATTTTACTATCAATGCATAATAATATTTTTGTACATTTGCTTAAAATGGGGGGAAATAAGAAAAATAGAAAAGGAGGTGGGCTACACTACACATTAGGAAGGAGTTATTATGGAGCAAATCATGCAACTAATCTAAAGGAAAGTTTCAAATCTTGAGTTCTTCATTGTTGTTTGACTCTATTTTAACTAAAAACAACTGCACTTGCACTACCTTCTCTGAGGGAATGTGTTAATGTCACCATACACTCCATCTGAAGGAGATCTTGAACACTAGTAATGACGGAGGCATAGCAATGAAATGTGTTCACTGGTTTAGAAAGCATGTCAATGGCAGCCTTGGAATCCGAGTAGCATCTTTTGGATTTTGCAATTTTTAAACCAATAAAAATTTTATGTAAGTTCAGCATAAGTATTGTTTGCAATGCCTAAATTTTCATCATATATGAAAGCAAACTTTCCCCGCTCAACATTTAAAGTTGTAGCAACCACTTTAATGTACAAGTTTACTTATAATCATGAAAACTAAGCCTACGTTGCAGGGTTACTGCTTTCCGTAGTAACAAAAGCTATTCACATTCCTCTTGCAGAAGATTTTAGCAGCCTAAAACAGAACAGAAGTTTTAATAAGCAAGGAGACGAGAGCACAATATAGAGAGGGAGAAGGAAACTGTCAGGGGATCCAGTAGCTTTAGTTATAGATCCGAAACATCGATAGAATTCTCTATAATATCAATGCAGGATCCTACCGAACTTCCTGCAGACATCGCCTCAGCAAGCTTAGCTCGAGCTACTTCATGTCGACGCAAAAGTAAGACCGTATTTAGCACAGACCATCTAACTTGAGAATCCGCTTTCTTCTGCGTGAAGCCTAGCCCGTTGAGCAAAGAATCTAACTATTCACAATCAAGAAAATTATTACTATTAATATCAATAAATTCCCTCTAAACATTCCATCTGTCATGACAAAAAATTACAAATTACAAACCTTTCTTATGTCATCTAGACCTCCTTCAGCAAATCCGTATATAAGATACTCAGTGCATACCCCGGCCAGGGCTATACATGAAAACTTGTTCAATGTCTAATAACAAAAATCAAAGGTTCTGTCACATGGTTAAAGCAAACAAACCATTGAAAAGTAAATGTCTGTAAGATGGGAAACATACGGTAGCTGATACTTTCCCTGCATTAACCTGCACGAAAAGAAAGGTAGAAGGCATCAATATCTATAGTTCCGACTAATCGCCATTGACACTCTACTCAATAAGCAAACAGTTCAAATCGAGTTAAAGCAAAATAAAGCAACCAACTTCTTCAACAAACTCGAAATCCACAAACGCCGTGCCTGCTTGAATATTGAGAGATCCCTCCTTCTTCAGAGCATCCAAACTAGAAACTGAATATCCTTTAGGAAGTATTCCAACTAGATACGCGATTAAAAAGTGGCCAGCTTCATGCTGCATGATCAATTTTTTGTTATGGTTACATCATGATGCAAGTAAAATAAGAAATATAATTAGTTTAATTTCAAGCAATAACATGAATCTAACTTGAATAACTCTGTTATGGTATTTCTGACTGAAGTTATGACCAATTGTATCAACAACCAAGCTACCAAGACCTCCGCCAAAAGAAACCTGCAAACAATCAATTCGATGAGCATAGAGCATCATCGTCGATAACTCGAAAGGAAGCAAATGCTTACCAAGTCAAAAGTCCAGAGAAACAACAATCCCAATGATATATAGAAGATTTGTTGTTGGGAAATTCCAAGGACATTCCAAGCGGCAAAAGCTCCAAGAATAGAAGCAATAAGCAAGTTTCGCTCAATGGAACCAAGAGTTGTGTCCACCGGTGATAGAAGAGACGCAGTTTCTATTCCATTTAACTTTAACTCATCCAATGTGTAAAGCCTTTGAGGAACCTGCAGATTCATTGATTCATACAACCAATGAAGCAAACCACAAATCAAGACTTAACTATAATTTGGAATTGGATCCCTCCTGCAGTTCAAGTATGAATAACCAACCTGCCTGGCTGCGCCGAAACAGCGAAGCCCGTCGGAATTGCCTTGTAAATCCTTGACAAGTGCAAGAGCAGCTCTCTCATCCCCTTTGGATAATTCCTTGTCTACATTTTCCAGTAATTGTTGCCTGCAGCTACAAATTCCAACTTTGGTAGAGCATTTGATTCTCAACCTTACAACAAGTTTTGGTTGCCTGGAGCATAAGGGGAGGCCCGCGGCAACACAGACACCATGCACGAAACCGAGACCAATCATTTAATCAAATTCTGGAATGAAATAAACTATGTTCATAGTTATTATTTTATTGTTTTGTTTTCCACATGCCACGTGATGTATAAAAATTTGGTGAATTCTCCACCACATAAAACAAGATAAATAGCCATATTTCAAATTAAAAAGAAATAAGTTTCGCTTCCTTTAGGGTAATAACACCATCAATTACTGTTGTTCATTTTCATTTTTACAGTAACTACTATTTATTTTTAAAATAACTTAAAACAATAATCATAGTAAAAAAAACTAGGGATTTCATAGAGAAATTAATGCTTGACAAGGTTTATGACAACCTCTCTGGCTAAACTCTAACTCTAGATTACTAAGCCGAATCTGCACGAGAACAAAATAACTTCTGAAAGAACCTTTTTATAATAACAAACGAGAACTTGCATTCTATAAAGGATTCATATGATAAATTAAAATCCAAAAAGTGATATGGATATGTAAATATATTTGATAAAACAATGTTTTCCATTAATCTCCATGAAAGGTCATAGTACAGAACTATCCACTAAACAGAGATGGATTCCATTGTAATCAGAAATATAAAAGCAAAATTTGTATATTACAACTAGCCCAAAATAAAACCACGACTACTCAACAACAAACAGAAACCCTAAAATTCTTGAGAAGCAGATCCAATTTCGTCTTTGCCCTTTCCAGCCTTCTTAGGAAGTAAAGTCGAGTGAATATTAGGCAAAACACCGCCATTAGCAATAGTTACAGCCCCCAAAAGCTTGCTTAATTCCTCATCATTCCTAACAGCTAGCTGAATGTGCCTTGGAACAATACGATTCTTCTTGTTATCCCTAGCAGCATTCCCAGCCAATTCCAAAACCTAAATCAAGAAAAACTGCAAATTAGCGATTCCGAATATCCAATAAATAAACCTAATATTCAAACATGACATATACATACCTCAGCGGCGAGATATTCGAGAACGGCGGAGAGGTAGACGGGAGCGCCGGCACCAACACGCTCGGCGTACTTTCCAGCCTTCAAGAATCTCGCAATTCTACCGACGGGAAATTGAAGACCAGCCTTTGAAGATCTTGAAACAGATTTGGAGGCCTTTGGCTTGCCCCTTCCACCCTTGGTTGTAGAACTCATTTTTTGTTGATAGAAGAAAAGCGAAACCCTAAACCTTTGATTCAAAATTGGAATCGAGAGAGCGAAATCACTGAAGAAGAGTGAGATGACGAGAATTGATTGTTACATCTTTCGGTGGAGGGTTGTTATTATATAGTACCCCATACTCCGTGCTGATTGGTTGAAAAGGTGAGGCACGGATTGCCAGCGTGTCATTTAGACTCAGCACCGCGGGATTCATTTTAGTTTCGGGAACTTTTGAACTAGCCGCGCCCTACTATTTCATCGGATGGGTTTTAATTTTTGAAAATAAATTATGATTATTTGATTTTAAAGTAAAAATTAATTTAATCCAGTAACTAAATATTTTAGTTTAGCAAAAGATGATTATGGAACTACAACCTTTGAATTTAGAATTTATATTAAAGAATATTTTGATTACTTTTGGTCGGATGTTAAAATCTCCCTTAGAAACTTTTTAACATAAATTTTTTCTGATTTTTCTGACACATAAGAGTTAAGAAGATTTTATTACTAGATTTTTTAGCATTAGATCTTAAGGCAAAAGTATTAGATTAATTAAATATAAATTGATATAATTAATTATTAATTAATTATATTAAGGTTTATTCTTATTAGATAAATTGTTTGATTGAGTTTTGTGTCTGAATAGATTGTAATGAATTAGATCATTCAGCTAAAATCAATGAGAGTTATATGTTCTCACCGTTTAGTTATTTAATTGTCTCTTCCTTAAACAATTAATATAATCTTAAAATCTTAAACGACAATGAGGTAGTAATTTTCTCATACTCACTCTTTTGACGATGGACTGTTTCTCTAATTTTATAAGATACATCATTCTTCTTATTATTGATTATTTTATATTTAAACAATATGTTATAATTTATATCTATAAATTTAATTAAATATTGGTATTAGAGCCTATTTATATATATATATTTATATATATATATATATATATATATATATATATATATATATATATATATATATATATATATATATATATATATATATATATATATATATATATATATTTTAGGACTATTGTTTTGAATCACAATTTTTGTGTAAAATACTTTGTACTATTATTTTTGTGGTTTGAGAATATAAATAAATCATGCATAGTTGTAGCATTGCATTATCGATCTTGATATATTTTTAATCTCTAATATCTAAAAGTGGTGAATTTGTATGATCGCTTCAATTACGGTTTCTTGATTTCTTTAATGAGTACACTTATCTGATGCGTCAATTTTAAAGATTAAAAATCCTTTCATACTCGTAAAACAAATGACTTAAAATAGAACACAAGTATCTTAATCCATAAAAAATTGAAAGAAATCCTTCTATGGTTGTTCTAGAGTTCCTTCAAGATCACGTGCTTAGGTCCAAGCATACAACATTACCTTCTTCAGCTTATCTCTACTTCGTCCAAGCTGGAGCTCTAGGCTGAGTAATTTTTCTCACCGGATCTTTTTTGTTTCACTTTAAGTGACAAGACATAACCAATCTTTGATATCAATTAAAGGTTGGAAAAATACACAAGAAGGGGGATTGAATTGTGTATGTCCAAATATCAAAACTCTTTTCACTAACTGTTTATAAACCGTCAGATTCTGAATCACATTCAGAGTCTGATGTCAGAGTGAAGACAATAGTGAGAAGCTTACTTCCTTTTCTTAACTCTACTTCAGAATAATATGTGTGAAGCTTAGATTCTGATGCAAGTAAGAGACTTAATCAGATAAGAGACTGACTTCATAGTATGTTTACACAACGAAAAATAAATGTAGAAGTAAATAAATAGACATACAATATATTTTGGTTTCTCTCAACTAAGAGTATTCCAATCTTCTTGCAACACAAAAGCTTTTAACTATAATAAAAATGACTAAAATTACTTAAGATAGCAGCTCAAGACTACCTGCATAATCCCACAGAAAGAGACTTATGCTCAAGCCAGCAAGTCTGAGACTTCCTTGCCTAAACCCTCATTTAGGACTTTTTGCTCAATCACCCATGTCGATACTTCCTTGCATGAACTACCCATTTAGGACTTCCTTCTCAAGCCCTCAAGCATGAGACTTCCTGCTCAATCACATTGATCGAGACTTCCTGCTCTGCCCGCAAGCATGAGACTTCAATGCCTAAACACCAAGATAAAAACTTTTTGCTCAATCGTCAGAAATAGACTTTTCCCTACGCACAAAAGTTGAGTCTTCAGATTCTCTTTAACAGAGACGTGTGATATTAACCTTGTATTCAACTATGTGCTTATTTGATAAGCAGATACATAAAGGTTTACACTCTTGAGCAAATTTGAGTTGATTGCTCCTGAGCGAGGAAGAATGAAGAATTCATTCTTCTTTTCTCCTTGCATAAATTTTCATCCTGTTGTGTTTTCATGTTCTAATGAACATGTCACATATTTTATCTTCAGAATGTATGTGAACATGTTTCACTCTTCTCTAATAAACTTAACCCTTCTTGTTTGATAAAACATTGAAGTGTGTTTCTCCTCACTCATTTCGGTGAACTAGTATCAAATTCATGTGAACAGAGTCACAAAATCTTCAACTCATATTCATTCTCTTGAGACGTAGAAGTTCAATTCAGAGATGTTTCCAAAACTTTCATAGTTCGGAACTTTGTGACTGTTTTCAATATTCATCTATAATTAGATACTTAGAATATATCTGTTGAAGATTGAAATTACTATAGAATGAGCTAAAAGACCAAAATACTCTAGAAAGTAGCAGAACAATGGGAGAAAGAATATATTTCATATTTTACTGTTCAGAAATATAGGAATCAATAAAATATTATAATAATATATTTTATTTTTAAATATAAAAAATATTTTTTTTATTTTCTTTAATAAACAGTAAAATATAGTACAGGTATAGTGATTTGATATAATAATATTATTTTTTATTTTCTTTAAATATACCATACAATTGTAATACTCAATTGATATTTATAAATCAAATTATAAGCTACAGTGAAATTATAGAATTAAAAGGTACTATCGATAAGCCTCTTATAAAAAAACTTTTATTCAAAATAAATACACAGCAGGTAAATTTTTTAATTTCATTTACCACTCCTATGATTAGGACAGATTCTAGTGCGAGTGTATAACCGATTGGAATTTCACTGATTTTCCATAACATTAGCGTCCACTTATGTTTATCCAATTAGAAAAACATGATTTTAATTTTTTTTAATATTAAATTTTGACCCTATAAATTATTTAACTCTTTGTGCATTCAAAAAAAATCAGGAGATTGTGAGCCTCATATTTTAACCATTAGAATAGACTTTCAATTTTCTCAGAGAAAAAAAATAATATTTTGTAAATTACATATAATATCCGAGCAAAATAGACTAAACTAGTCAACAAGGAGGCAGAGAAACCCTAAAATTCTTGAGAAGCAGATCCAATTTCGTCTTTGCCCTTTCCAGCCTTCTTAGGTATCAAAGTCGAGTGAATATTCGGCAAAACACCACCATTAGCAATGGTTACAGCTCCCAAAAGCTTGCTCAGTTCTTCATCGTTCCTAACAGCAAGTTGAATGTGCCTTGGAACAATTCGATTCTTCTTGTTATCCCTAGCCGCATTCCCAGCCAATTCCAAAACCTAAATCACAAATCATTGAAAATTAGAGATTCCGATCATCAAATACACCGTAAAAACCTAAAATTCAAAACACAAATCCATCAAGTTCGGTAAAATTAAACCAGAAAGAAACAAACCTCAGCGGCGAGATATTCGAGAACGGCGGAGAGGTAGACCGGAGCACCGGCACCAACGCGTTCGGCGTATTTTCCAGCCTTGAGGAATCTTGCGATTCTACCTACCGGAAATTGAAGTCCGGCCTTTGACGATCTTGAAACAGATTTAGTGGCAGCCTTTGCCTTGCCTCTTCCGCCCTTGGTGGTAGCGGTGGAACTCATTTTCAATTGATGGAGAAAAGAGAGTGAAAAGATAGAAGAGTACGGATTGATTTATCAAACGGTGGAATGTTATTATATAGGACCAAATACTCTGTGCTGATTGGTTGAGAAATAGAGGCACGGATTGCCAGCGTGGCATTCTTATTCAGTTTCGCGGGAAATTATTTCAAAGTTACTAGACAATAAAATAAGTTCAAACTAGGCGCGCCATATTGTTTGCCTTTTCAGCATGTTATTTTATTTTAAATTTTAATAAAATAGCTTATGTAAAAGTTTACTATGTGACCTTATCCATAAATCACATTTCTTATATTAACCAAAATATTTATCTTTTATCATAATCACTTAACAATTAAATTATTTAAAAAGTATTATTAGTAGACATGGTTTCAAGAGTTTTTTTTAATGTTGTTTCTAGAAAAGGGTATAAATATGTTGCATAACTTAAACAATCTTTAGAATTTCACAATAATTTAAACAAGTTCTACAAAGAGGTGGCATTTAAGATGGAGATGTAAGAATGACATTTTAACAATTAATTTATTATTATTATTATTATTAGAATTATTTTAAATTTTACATTAGTTTTAAGATAGAGTATTGAAAGAGTTTATACAGAGTAATAATTTTTATTTTACAAATTAATTTTATAAGAATGAGTTAGATTAAACTCTAACTCTAGTTTGATATCCGAGTCTATCGATCGGACCATAGACCGTCCACTAATAATATTCATACATCAAATTTTAAAAAGTGTTGGACGTAAAATGGTGTATTGGGAAACTCAAGTCTCATACAATATTGAATGAGTTTATATATAATAACACCATTCACCTTACAAGCTCATTTTGTAAGGATGAATTAGGTCTAACATTAACTCTAATAATTATAACTATCTCTTTTTCTATTTATAAGAGACAACTTATTTTTTAGATACATTAAATAATCAATGTATATGAAAAATACATTAATTATTCAATGTATATAAAGTAAATTGTCTTTTATAAATTAAATCGGAATGAGTATTATTCAATGGTTCAAATTAAACCAAATTTATTCCATGTTAATTAAAGATATCCTTTTGATTTTTTTACGCTTGTTTATACCAACCTCATTTAGTATATTAAATTTAGGGGTGGCAAAGCGTTTTGTGGCATGCCAGACCGGCCCATGCACCTGTCATAAAATGGCGGATTGAGTTGAGATTTTGTACGCGCCTACCTGTTAAGTCTACCTCGTCTTAAATCCGCCATATCTTAAGCCTGTCAAAAAAGGGGCAAGTTGGTCCGCCAGTCCGTAAGCCTAGTTATCAAGTACTCCAAATATTTATTTGAATTTTCTCTATGAATAAGACTCAACAGTATTTAAATTTTTGTCAATCGACTTCTCTTGCTCGCATTGTATGTAGCTCTAGCTTTATACACCTAGGTACTGATGAGGTTTTTTTGGATCTTTTTCTTTCAAAGCAACAACTATATACCGTAGAGTCATGTTGTACTTCATCATGTCATTCACAAACTGTCTTTCATGATCTTTTAGACGACCCAATATGTCATAACCTTCTAATCCTTAGATAGTTTATGATCGTGCAATCCCACGCCTAACTATCACATTCCAACCACTACCACTTAATGCATATCTCAACCTAAAAAGATAGTTCACTTTCATACTATAAATTTCCTATGAGTATTTATTGCTTTCAGATGTATTCTTTCTTTTGTAGTTTCCTCATCTCTCGTAATACATAATCAGTTTATATTTCCTACAACTCTTTCAAATTGCAGTATCAGAATGAACAATCATAATAATAATATCATGTTGTTTACTAATAGCCTGTGTCTATGCTAATTGTGAGATGTTGGATCGAACTCTAGTATGGTCGAAGGGTAGCTTCTGATTCGACAGGAATTAAGCATGAGGCCGAAGTATGTTCGCATGTTGTTGTCGGAGTAATGCGTGTTGTAGTCGAAGTTTGTTCTAACATGCATTAGTCAATATTGCTAGGGACTGTTAGCATGCTGAATTGGGTCTTGCTTGTAAGCTCAATTGTTTAAGTTAGCTTGTACCCCGAGTTAGATTGTAATGAGTAATTGTTAAAAAGTTCATTAGATTAGTGTGCTATTTTTCTTATAAATAGGATGTTGGTTTCTCAATTTTGACATAAGGAAAAATAGGAAGATAAAATCTTAATTTCAAGAGAGAGAAAATATTTTGTTATTCTTATATACTTGTAATCTTGTTTTAAGAGTAAGGAAAGAATAGCAATTTATAATCAATCCTTGTTGTTCCTTGTTATTTTACCTTGTTATCTTTGTTAACCCTAACCCTTGTGTGTTTCTTGATCATAAAGAAACCGTTTATATTTTATATCAAGACATCTAATTCACAAAAAATTAGTGCGGTGGGCGTGGAGAAGATGTCTTCAACAAAGTATGAGATTGAAAAGTTCACCGGAGTGAATGACTTCAGTCTGTGGCGCTTGAAGATGAAAGCCCTACTGGTTTAGCAGGATTGTTTAGAAGCTTCTAGTTCTAGTGCTTCTACTAACTCCACTCGGTAACTCACTTAAGCCTAATTCTTTAAGCAACCTCAAAGAATCATCAACATCTAAAAACTCGCCGAAGATTTCATATTCGTTCGAGAAATCAAATGGCTTGAAGCTACTTAATTCACCAGAGAGCTCACAAACATTACTCCGAGAATCTCAGTGATAGAAAGCAATAACGAAAGTAGGAGAGACTGCTCTTTCTAAATCTAATTCTAGTTCTTTAAAAACCTTAGATTCATAGCTTAATATTCTAAGCTCTTTCACATTGTGGTGGTGCGGTGATAATAGACAATGCAAAACCCATAAAGATAGAGTTTCAAAAAGAGAAACTTGTGAAACAAGTGCTGCCACGAGAATGTTTTCAATGAAAAGAAGAACTTGTGTATGACATATTTTGAGATTTTTACTATGAAATATTTTTAGACAAATGTTATGGTATTAGTGACAATGCAACAAACATTAAATTCTACGCACACAGTGGTTAATAGTTTAAGTTTTCTTAGGTTGTGACTAATAATAAAGAAGTTGGAGTTACTTGGAAAGATTGTCTTTCCAAAAATATGTCATACACACATATCCTTTTATATTAGAAAATCCAGAATATGTCATACACAAATTCTTCTTTCTAAGAAATTTGTTGGGCGGTGTTGTTCTAAGGAAGAATGCATCAGACTTCATGATCCTTTGTTATGTGTCACGCTAGTTGTAAATGTAGTTGTTGTTATATATAACTCGACGTCAAAATAATTTTTATTTCTATTGTACAATGCATCTGTTTTCTTGTTGATGTATCACAATTAAATGAAGACAATCAAGTGTAACATCCATGATGCTCAGAAGTTGTTTGATGAAATGCTCGAGAAAGTTTTAGGATTTAGAGAGGTTTGTAACCCCCACAATCTAACTAGTATTTTTTTTTGGAAGTTGACTTTAAGTGATGTGGCGTGTAAAATGGCGTGTCACGCCAACTTTCGTTAGAGAAAATAGACGGTATGAGTCAAAAGTGTGGACGGAAAATTTTAAAAAAACTATTATTCAAATAAATTTTTTATAGGAACTAAAATCGAATTTGAGTTATTTATAAGAACAAAAAAAATATTTAACCCTAACATTATTTTGTTTTTAATTCTTGTTTATTCGTTTTACTTTCTCTAAAAAAATAACTCAATATTTTTCTCTTACTTAAATTTTTGTGATTTTTTTTGAATTCAAGTGTGCGTAATCGGTCTTAGATTAATAATAAGACATAATACTCATATGTTGAAAAAATAACTTAAAATTATATATTGTCAAACCAAATATATTTTAATTGTATTATTTGTTTTTTTTTACTTCTTTTGATACTACACTATTCTTAAAAATTTGTTTAAAAAAATCTTACCAACATGGAATGGTAGCATTTCTCTAATTTTTTGTGTGCTCTCCTATATATATACCTCTACCCATACTCGACAATTATTTCCCTATTCTTATATTCTTTTTTTAAATATTCATTATACCTTTTTATTTAGTTGTTATTATTTTTTGAAATCAATTTGTTTTAATCCCTACACCAGTGCTCCGAAAAACACCATTTAAAATTTTTTGATATGTAATTTCTTTTCACCAAATAATTTATAATAAATTTTCCGATATTATAATTTTTAATCAAAATTTTGTTTAGCGTATAACTTGTTATAATTTTTTCGATATTATAACTCTTTACTAAAATTTTATTCATCAGGTAATTTGTTATATGTTTTTTATTATTAAAATTTTTTTATCAAATATTTATTTATCGAATAACTTGTTATAAGTTTTTCGGTAGGTTTTTTCTTCATATGGCAGAAGTTGTCAAAAGTGAACAAACAACGTTTGAAAATCGTTGTTAAATCACCCAAACGTTTCTGACACATAAAATAAAGAAAACAATTTTCTTTACTTTAGGCTATAGTTTCTTACGGTTGCCTAAACTTATTTATGTTGTAAATTCCAAATAGTTTATTATAAGTTATTCGAAGGTAAATTTTTTCAAATATAATACATATCGAATAACTTTGTTTAAAGACTTTTAGAGAATCGGCAACAATTTTTATTTATTGTAGGCTACGGTTTTTGACAAATACCTATTGTTTTTCATAATTTTATTTTTTAGATATATTATAAGAATATTTTAGTTAAATCAAATGAATTGTAGAGGTAGAAGAATAATTCTTGGAAAATGAGATGAAATTTTCCTCTTACTCAATATATTAATATTTACGTTTATGTCCTAAAGATATTCGGTTCATAAAAAAAAATTATAACAAAGTTTAAGATAAAAAAATTATATTATATTGCTACTATAGTTTCGTTCTTTTCTATTTTTTTATAAGCAATAAATATTTTATTCGTCAAGGAGTACTAGGGATACTCCAACCCAATTTACAAATTATACATTACCTTCATACAACAAGAATCACCTAAAAGAAGT